AGCTCCGAAAAGCTGTCCTTTTGGAGAAAAGAAAAGAATTTTTATCTGAGCAGTATAAATCTTTTTAATTATTAGGCCCGGAGAGACATTAAAATTAAACAGTAATTACATCTTACTCTCTCTTTGGAGCTCTGTGTTCCTCCCTCGAATCGGCTCCCTGTTGCCACGGTAGCTGTAAATTAGCCTAATAACGCCGCACCAGATACCACAGCCCACACTTTAGAACTTAACCATATGTAACCAGTCACACCTCCATATTTCTGCAAACTAATAAAAACTCCTGACCAAAAACTTTTTAACAGGCCGGGCACGCTGACTCATGCCTATAATCCCCGCACTTTGGGAGGCCGAGGTGAGAGGATTGCCTGAGTCCACGGGTTCGAGACCCATCTTGGCAATTTGACAAGTCCTCATCTCTACAGTAAATCACAAAATTAGGCCGGGCGCGGTGGCTTACGCCTATAATTCCAGCACTTTGTGAGGTCGAGGTGAGAGGATTGCGAGTCCAGGGGTTTGAGACCAGCCTGGGCAACTTGGCGAGACCTCATCTCTACAATAAATCAAAAAATTAGGGGCAACCCCTTTGGGTCCCCTCCCTCTGTGGGAGCTTTTCTGTCCTCTCAATAAATCCTGCTTTCTAAAAAAAAAAAATTCACTTTTCACTGCTGCTGACCAATGTTTATATTCATGACAAGTTGTATCTATGCTCCCGGGCGGCACGCAACCTGCAAACTTAGCTCACATAAACTCTCCATCTTTTTTTGTGTGTGCTGCCTCAGTCTCGACCTGTTGGGTTCAGGCAATCCTTCTGCCTCAGCCTTCCAAATAGGTGGAACTCTAGGCACGTACCACCAAGCCTGGTTAATTCTTTTATTTCTGTAGAGACGAGGTCTGGCCATGTCGCCCAGGCTGGTCTTGAACTCCTGGCCCCCAGCGATCCTCCCGCCTTGGACCCCCAAAGTACTGGAATCACAGCTACCTCCCCCTGCCATCTCTACTTATATTAATTTGGCCTCAGCAGCTTCCTTTTAGGTAATTCACATTCTGTAATTTACATCTACAAAGGAAATCGACATTAGTAAGAGTCTCTGTATCAGGAAGGAGCTGCTCCAGCAACTTTGACCGGAGAGTCTTTTTTTTTTTTTTTGAGTTGGAGTCTCACTCCGTCGCCTAGACTGGAGTGCAGTGGCCACTCCCAGCCACCACAGCCTCGACCTGCTGGGCTCTGGCGATCCTGCCGCCTCAGGCTTCCAAGTAGCCGGAACGACAGGCGCATACTACCATGCCCAGCTAATTTTTGATTTATTGTAGAGACTAGGTCTCGCCAAGCTGCCCAGGCGGGCCTCAAACCCATGGGTGCAGGCAATCCACTTGCCTTGGCCTCCCAAAGTGCTGGGATGACAGGCTGAGCCACCGAGCCAGGCCATGAGAGAGACTTCCACCTCTGTCCACCATCCATTTCTGCCCCTTCCCCTCCCATTACCTGTCAGAGGCCCCAACCCGCTATTTCTTTCTGTAACTCATTGACTCAGGCTGCACTAACATGGTCAGTCATCTGAGCCTTCATTGAGGCTCCCACTTGGCAGGATTCCCTTGCATATGCTTGTAATTAGAAATGGTTTTTCTAGCTGGACTCGGTGGCTCAGCCTGTAATCCCATGCCTTTGGAAGGCTGAGGTGAGTGGATTGCCTGAGCCCGCGGGTTCGAGACCCACCTGGGCAGGCGAGACCTCATCTCTCTACAATAAATCAAAAAATTAGCCAGGTGTGGTAGCGCACCCCTGTAATTCCGGCTACTCGGAAGGCTGAGGCGGAAGGATCGCCGGAGCCCAGCAGGTTGAGGCTGCGGTGGCCGGGAGCAGCCACTGAACTCCAGTCTGGGTGACAGAGTGAGACTACAACTCAAAAAAAAAAAGAAATGTTTTTCTGCCGGGCTCGATGGCTCAGCCCGTAATCCCGCACTTTGGGAGGCTGAGGTGAGTGGATTGCCTGAGCCCGCGGGTTCGAGACCCACCTGGGCAGGCGAGACCTCATCTCTCTACAATAAATCAAAAAATTAGCCAGGTGTGGTAGCGCACCCCTGTAATTCCGGCTACTCGGAAGGCTGAGGCGGAAGGATCGCCGGAGCCCAGCAGGTTGAGGCTGCGGTGGCCGGGAGCAGCCACTGAACTCCAGTCTGGGTGACAGAGTGAGACTACAACTCAAAAAAAAAAAGAAATGTTTTTCTGCCGGGCTCGATGGCTCAGCCCGTAATCCCGCACTTTGGGAGGCTGAGGTGAGTGGATTGCCTGAGCCCGCGGGTTCGAGACCCACCTGGGCAGGCGAGACCTCATCTCTCTACAATAAATCAAAAAATTAGCCAGGTGTGGTAGCGCACCCCTGTAATTCCGGCTACTCGGAAGGCTGAGGCGGAAGGATCGCCGGAGCCCAGCAGGTTGAGGCTGCGGTGGCCGGGAGCAGCCACTGAACTCCAGTCTGGGTGACAGAGTGAGACTACAACTCAAAAAAAAAAAGAAATGTTTTTCTGCCGGGCTCGATGGCTCAGCCCGTAATCCCGCACTTTGGGAGGCTGAGGTGAGTGGATTGCCTGAGCCCGCGGGTTCGAGACCCACCTGGGCAGGCGAGACCTCATCTCTCTACAATAAATCAAAAAATTAGCCAGGTGTGGTAGCGCACCCCTGTAATTCCGGCTACTCGGAAGGCTGAGGCGGAAGGATCGCCGGAGCCCAGCAGGTTGAGGCTGCGGTGGCCGGGAGCAGCCACTGAACTCCAGTCTGGGTGACAGAGTGAGACTACAACTCAAAAAAAAAAAGAAATGTTTTTCTGCCGGGCTCGATGGCTCAGCCCGTAATCCCGCACTTTGGGAGGCTGAGGTGAGTGGATTGCCTGAGCCCGCGGGTTCGAGACCCACCTGGGCAGGCGAGACCTCATCTCTCTACAATAAATCAAAAAATTAGCCAGGTGTGGTAGCGCACCCCTGTAATTCCGGCTACTCGGAAGGCTGAGGCGGAAGGATCGCCGGAGCCCAGCAGGTTGAGGCTGCGGTGGCCGGGAGCAGCCACTGAACTCCAGTCTGGGTGACAGAGTGAGACTACAACTCAAAAAAAAAAAGAAATGTTTTTCTGCCGGGCTCGATGGCTCAGCCCGTAATCCCGCACTTTGGGAGGCTGAGGTGAGTGGATTGCCTGAGCCCGTGGGTTTGAGAC